AAATCTTGTGAATGCATTAAGACCATGCTACATATTTGACGTAAAAATGTTCACACAGCTAATATACTAATAATTAGGGTTTTTTTTTCTTACAACTCCACAAAAATTACATCAAGAAAATGTGTATCTTACAAATAACCTGGCCTAAAATGGGTGTCTGGATGCTGGATTTATATGTAATAGCTGATCTCTCATTAGTTACTCTAGTAACTCAGCTTCCAGTGTTATTTCCATGTATTGAGTTGAGTAGTATATTGCTCAAAAAATGCATGTTGTGGTCATAAAGTAATGTCCAACTGTAGGTCTTACCATAATAAAGCCAAACACAGAAAGTCATAGTGTTCTCAGTTATTTATATTTATTATGATTTTAGCATTTCTTACTCCCAGTTCTTACTTAACAATTGAAAAGCAAATGGCTATGGTGAATAAAATCACTAAGGCTCATTCGCATCCATCCAGTGGGACAAATTGGACTATTTGCTACTATAGTTATGTTTGATATCTGGGCTTTGGACTAAATTTTACTCTTGGCCACGTTTCCCGATTCACTTATGTGCGTTTTGTAAGCAAGACTCGCTAATCTGACAGTTCATTTTGTAGACCAGGTTACACCCCATAGTTGTTCACAACATTGCACCCAATAATATGCAACCATCACGTTATTTGCAACAGCATTCAAGATGACTGGTTCATGACCTGCAAAACAAAACAAACAAAAAAGGCAGAGGACAGAAAAATAGCTGCTTGTGTGAGTTCAGGAAAAGACTCATCCCTCTGTGCTCAGGGCAATGTTGAATTATCTACTTGGGATACCAAGGCCATTCCAGCTTATAATTCACAAACTCATATTTTAGTCATGAGTTTATTTCCATACCTGAAGTCACGCCTAGATAAATGTTAAGTGGTACAACCCACTTTCCTAGGAAAAGTTCCACATAACGCCTGAACATAACCCCCACACAGTGTCTCGCTTACAGATAATGCCTTTATTAAATGATGAAGTTTCAGTCCGACTGCCTTTCACCAGGTGCAAAGGCAACGTCTATGTATGTATACATACTCGCACGTACATGTATAATAGTTGTGATAACCATGAAGTGATATCCATGCAATCTGTGAACTTGCATGGATATCACTTCAAAAATTAATTGTTAACTATAGCTGCAATGCTAAATAGGATAATTAACATATCCCATAAATGATTAATATAGCAGAAATATGACAAAAAAGACATCAAATGGATGATATGATTAAAATTGTGTGTGTGTGTGTGTGTGTGTGTGTGTGTGTGGACATTACTTTTGTACCTGATAAAGGTTGATTAGACTCAAACATTGTAATTTATGTTTTAAGGTAGACAATGTGCAGGAGTTACATTCAGTTATAACAGTTCAATTGTGAAAATGTGCTGGAATGAAAATGTGCTCAGCATTAAAGGTCCCTTAGGATGAGACCGTTTCGCATGCCTTGTACAATAATGCATTCCATCATGGACGCTTGCTTTTGAATTGTGTGCTGATAACAAGGAAGATACTGTATCTCCTCTTTGGCCTGAAGGCATTCAGGATTTGCAAAAGAATTTCAGATTTGAGTTCAGACCATGGAAAATGAGTTTACCATGGTCTGAATAAAGCAGCTAGTTTATTCATATAATAAGCACTATAGCTAGCGTTTGGGGATGCAGTAATCACCGATCACAGTGGTTGTCAAAAGCGCCATTCATTCATTTTGCACTGCTTAACCATGTCTGAGTTGTGAGGTCAGCAGTCCAAGCAAACATGCCCAGACCTCCTCCTCCCTGCCCACTTCCAGCTCTTCTCTGGTGTTACCCAAGCCAGGTGAGAGATATAATCTCTCCAATATGTCCTGGGTCTGCATCCTCTTTGCAGGACATTCCCAAAATACTTCACCTAGAAGGCGCCCAGGAGGCGTCCTTATCAACCACATCACCTGGCTCCTTTCAATGTAGAGGAGAAGCAGCTGTACTCTGAAACCCTCAGAATGAAAATCCCATCTTCAAGAGTCAGTGTTGCTTCAATTGGTACAAATCTATGCATTTATTACTAACCATCATTACATAGTGTAATATCAGTTAACGCTGCACCATGAGATTAAAAGAGTAAGAACCTAAAAACTAAAAACTTAGATGGGAGGTGATGTCAGTTTATTAGATCTCCCAGAATTGACAGTATTTGTCTTCAGACATGGGTAGTTTGCAAAGGATGGTCAAATGCAGTTTTTTCTTAACATCTCTCCAACAGTAAGTAATGATAATTTTTCATTAGAAACAAGTTCTAGCATAGGCCACCTAAATCTCACAACTGCAGTAACAGAGGCAACTTTAGCACGCTACCGTATATGTTTTTTTTGTTTGTTTGTTTTTCTCAAATGGATTTAATGCAGTAGTATGAATCAGGCACTGAGTGGATAATCCAGCACCAGCTTCATATGTAAAATATATAAAACAACACACACAGTACCTGTAGATGAGAGACGAGATGACTGCTCGAGGCTGTGACTTATTTGTGTTCACATCGTGACCTTGAAAAAAGAAAAAAAAGATTAATTCTTTCTCTGGCTCCTGTTCCAGCACCTGTAATGTTGCTGAGGTCAATATGAACACGTGAGTATAAATTTGGTGTGGTGGTGAGCAATGTTGCCTCACAGCAAAGAGATCTTGGATTAGGATCCCCTTCGGCCAGCTGGGGCCCTTCTGTGTGCAACGTGCATGTTCTCCCTGTGCCTTCCCCTCTGGGCTCTGGCTTCCTCCCATAGTCCAAAGACGTGCATGTTAGGTTAATTGGTGATTCTAAATTGAGCATAGTTGTGAATGGTTGACTGTCTCTCTGTGCTAGTCCTGTGACAGAGTGGCAACATGCCCAGGGTGCACACGAGTCTTGTCCCTCAACAGCCGGGACCCAAACATGGATAAGCGGAAGAAAATGAATATGTGTGTGTACATGTGTATGTGAATGTAATATAACTTTTGTATGCAGGTAGTCTTTGTATTATTTTCATCATACTTACATTTAAGACATTATAGGCTCTAAATGATCATTGTCATTGCCTCCCGTTTTCATGTACATTTTATATTTGTCTGAATGTTTTTGGGCTTGAAATGCTGTTTGTAATAAATCCTCACCATCCAGTTTTCACATGGAATACTCTTGTCTGCCTTGAAGTTGGTGTGTACTCACAGTAGGGAATCCGTAGTGCGTCAAAGCACATTTGACCCCCAAAGTCCATTATGTTTAACTAGTGTGACCGTTTCAGTTAAGCACATCAAGCCTTGGCCCACTTTTTAGGAGGTGAGCCCAGGCACGGTTCAGTTGGACTCGTACAGGGTACACGTTGTAGTGTAATCACTAACCGTGTAACACTTCCTCACTAACACCCTCTCTTGTGAAAATCACCGGGCTAACTAATTAACAAATCTATAAGGTAGGTGAGGACAGCGTGTCATTGCTTAAAAAAAAAAAATGGATACAACTAAAGCACATAAAATCATGAACCTCATTTGTTGTGCAAGAATGCGTTTCAAAAGCAAGTGTCTGCCTGAAAGAGGGAGAGAGAGTAAGCAGGGGATAAGATGTGAAGTGTTAGCGCAGGCCAGCAGGCGAGGGGAGAGGGCGGACAGTCAAACTTGGGCATGGAACAAAGCAATTGTGTGAGTACACCCTTAATCTGCCTGCTCAGCCTTTTCTCTTCATATCCCTAATTTGTCAGTAGATTGCCTAATCATGGCACACAAGCCCAGGTCAGGTCTCTTGGTGCTAGTATGTGAAACATGTAAAGCAGATTGATTTTATCGAGGAAAAGCAACTAGCCTCCATCTGTTGATATTTCCAGGTTTGTTGGTTGAATTGGTAATCTTCAGTTGCTCTGAAGAGTAAGCTACATCCTCTTAAAGTCTCTAGTTTTGCACTAAAAGTGCTGTGGAGCTAAATTGCCCAATCTTAAGCCCATTTCACAAGAGGTGAGATGTT